TTGCTCCTAGTAGTAAGGCCAGGAGCCCCTAGTAGATCTAGTAGCGTCCTTGCTCCTAGTAGTAAGGCCAGGAGCCCCTAGTAGCGTCCTTGCTCCTAGTAGTAAGGCCAGGAGCTCCTAGTAGCATCCTTGCTCCTAGTAGCGATGCCAGGAGCCCCTAATAGCTTCTTGTTCCTAGCTGCAGGAGTTCGATGAAGTGCGGCAGTGCTGCAGGTGTAGTAGCGCTTTTGGTGTGTCTGTGCAGTCTGTTCAAAAAGCTGGGGAGATCATGATGGCGACCAGTCTGCATAATTCTTGATGTTTCAACCTTGGAGTGTCTGAAGGGCCCAGGAAGAGGTTCCGTTCCACACGTGAATCCAGCTTGGAATTATCTACGTATAAGTCTACACACATGACGTTGTCAATAGCATCCGTTGAGCTTCCAATACCAGTTCTGGGGGAGGAGTAGGGGTGCTCATGTCGAAGTGCTTCACGGATATCTCCACGACAGCAGGCGACCATGCGACAGCCCACCACAGGTAGTAGTGTCCTTGCTACTAAGACTAGTAGCAATGCACCTGTTACTAATAGCGATGCCCTTGTTACTAGTAGTAATGCCAGGAGCTACGTTCGTAGCTTCTTGCTCCGTCCATAGCGATGCCCTTGCTCCGTTCGTCCGTCGCGGGGTCTTTCTTCACCTTCTCAGGTCTCCTTGGTCCGTCGCGCCAAAGATGGACGGTGCCGGTGGTCGCAGGTGGTCGCAGGTGGTCGCAGGTTTGTGTTCAATGGCTGTGGGTCAAGGCAGCGGACACCCTGGTTGACCACCGAAAATGCACATTATAGATCACCAGACAGGGTCAACCTACCTGGATTTGGAGCTCCAGGCTTTGACCCATCCCCCAATGAGGTCAAATCGGGAGGAGGATCCATGCGAACACCACCACCACAACCAACACCTGCTGAAGAGGTGTGTGAGGGCATTTGGCCGGGAATTGACCGGTGACACCTCAGGATTTCCGGAAATTCCTTGCCAGACTTTTTGGCTGGAGAGATTGGAAACAAATGCTAATCTAAAAGTTTTGTTTCACCGAGTGAACCCCAAAAGCATCCAAAACACATAGATATGTGTGCCTTTGGGGGGATTGTTCAGGTAATTCAGGTACATGATGTATCACCTTTTGCAGAGTGATTTTGACACAGTCAGTGCCTAGAGTGAGTGCGAAGTTGGATAATTCTATTTTCAAGGCCCGGTCCGATTCGTCCGTAGCTTCTTTGGTTGATAAGATGCATCTGTTGGCAAATCCCCATGTTGGAATGCATGTGCAGTATGTTTATTAGACTATATAGTAGACCTGGGGCAAGCTTTTCGCAGATCCCTTGGAGTCTGAGACTGTGCAACGCCTTTGCGCGTGTACAATACCATTATATATATATAATATGAATTATATGCTATTTTTGTGGCTTCAAGCTATCCGAAGTCTCGGATCCGCTAGCTAGATATACTTGATCGAGTGCAGAAGTTGGCATCGAACTCAAGCAGGCAATTTGGAGGAAACTTTCTATATATAGTAACTAGAAGCTTCCTCGGCAATCGTTTCACTGGGAATCGTTTCACCTGTAGTAACAAGAAGCTACTAGGTTGGAGGCCATTACTACTAGTAACAAGAAGCCTTATAGTATGTCGTTGAAGCTCGCCACCTCGACAACCCGCTGTGCATATGGGTGAGTCGGGAGGGTGGCAGCAAACTTCGGGAGATCACCCGCCTTCAGGGCTTCGCGTAGAGTAACGGTTGCCCGCCAGGTGCTTTGCTTTAAAGGAAGTGCCCATTGGCTTTCTGGGAGCTGCACACCCGGCATGATTGCCAACGGCACAGCACGGGAGTTGGGAGAGAAACGACGATCCATGAGTGGTTGCCCCATGTGGCCCTCAGGCTTTGGTCGCCCTTTGCCAGAGATTCTTTGGAACATTTCCCTTACCAAGAAGATGCAATTTAGTTACATAATGTTCTTCCATTCAAAGGCTTTATTCCCAGAGTGGCTATTGTAGGCACGGTCTTTATATTATAGGAAGAGATAAGGGAGATGAGGGTCCACGCAGATTTAGGCAGTATGCATACCCTGAGCATTCTAGCACCACCGCTGGCAGGAATTTTTGCCCGAAGCCAGTCAGGCAGAACAGTTATGTACCGATTCCAGTATTTACCCCGCAACCAATTTGTTTACCCGAGACTAGATTTGCAAAACTGGTTTTGTGTTTGTATTTTTGTTGCCGGAGTTGTGGTGTCTTGTCGGCCAAATTTGTGTGCTTATTAGATTGTTCCCTTTGCACTACATAGTTCGATAGCTTCTTGGCCCGCAGCTGGCTCTTACAAACACTGCCTTGGCACTCAATAGTTCTTCTTGCACCCAGATAGTAAATGACAATGAACATTCTGCTTGCAATCAGCAGAATACTCAGACTGTTGCAGCCATTCTGACGGACTCTATTCGCCTTCCGCGTGGCCGTCAAATGTCGCGTGGTTTGCCGGATTTGTTCAAACCTTAAAAGGAGGAAATGTTCCAAAGACTAGTTGGTCAATGCAACAGTCAGGCAGTAGCATTGAAGGCTTGAAGGTTTGGCTCCCGTGTTTGACGCACTCATAATGTCTTGTTTGGATGTTGCATTGGCCGGTTTGAGTTTCACCGAGCCCGTTTGATTTATTCAGAAACCAGCGCTTTTCAATCAGGACAACCCATGGTCCATCGTGGTCCCGTGGCACAAAAAAGCGTTGGTTGAAGGCCACAGTTGGTACAGTAAGCAATGGGTGAAACTTCCACACTTTCATTGTGGTCGTTTCCACCTGCAGAACATGTTTTTGATTGTTTTTGCATCAGTGCAACAGATCGGTTTGAGGATGGAGCATCAATGTTGCCGAAAAAAACATGGGCTTACCATGTCAATGGGTATGATGTTCTTCTAAATGTATCCATCCATCATGTGTCCTGTTTTTTTATTAAAGACATTCGTGTCCCTTCTCAATCAAAGCAGTATCCGCCCCTAGTCCTCCCTCCAAACACGTCAGGCGGAACAAAGGAGAGTCCTGGAAGAGTTGCGGCTCCACAAGGCGTGAGCCGAGCGCTTTCGGCGAAACTGGCTTACCAACCTGCTGTGTTCGTTGAACGGAATGTATAACATCTCTGTCCATGGAATGTCATATAAGAATTTTATCGCATTCACATCACCTAGGACCTACACCTGGTGCCTGTCACCCAGAACATCTCAAGGAATGCAAACACAGAAGCACAAAACTAGTGTGTGTGTGTGTTAACCGCTGATCTCGGTGTGGAACATTTGGGGCTTGCCTGCATGAAACAACGTCCATGGACGTGTTCATGGATGTTGACTGACCAAGTCCTTTCTGGACATAGCCCCGTCCATTCACACAAAAAAAAGTCAAAAGAGGGATTCCCAGAGGGGTCAGCTGGAGATTACTATTTCCATCCATCAGTAGAAATCAACCGTGAAAGTTGCGTCCATCGTGCTACGGGTTTGCCCAGGTCACACTACCATACTTTGGGTGGGGAGGTTGGAAGCAAGCAAATACTCACTGACAGTTCTTCCAAGAATCTGCATGTGATAATCCCTGGCCTAGACTCTACAGGGACTGGAAATGACCCCATCCGACCTGCAAAAGCGGCCATCCCCGGCCATCCCGGCCCGGGCCATCCGATGGCGTTTGGAGGCCTTTGATTGTCCCTGCGTGGTCCGGTACTTTACTTCCTGGATGCAGGAACCGCAGAACCGACAGCAGGAATGTGCCACGGGTTCAGGATGTGCCACGGGTTGATCTGAGGGGTCAGTGATGAGCATGGAGTCTTGAGATTTATTGTCACTTAAAGATAACTAAAGAAATCATTTATAATGCAACCTCCCAACAAGAACAAGTAGTACTGATCCCAGATGTTGAACGATCATATACTCCAGTGAATGCCAGCGGCTCACCATACACCATATTACACCATCATGTACCAAAGACTCATCAGATCTCGTAAGGCCATTCGAGGTCCTTCCAGTAGGTTTGCAAAGGTGCTCCTTCCAAGAAAACAATGTTCAGCCGTGTCCTTGCCTTTTTTGAGGCTTTGTCAGGATCTAATGGAAAGAAGCCTTCTCCGGAAGCAATAGCCACAGGAATAAGGATCTACTCAACTCTGTATGATACCTTTTGTATCTCATTTGTGCATTTGGACCACCCTCATATGGCCCCTCTCACCAATGCGTGAGCCTCCAACTCTCATACAAATGTCGGACCCACAGTCGACGTGCACACCGATTGCTTTTCCGACTCAAACTGTATTTAACAGAATACTGTAATCTATTGTTTCTACTAGCTTCTTGTTACTACTAGTAAGGCACTTGTTACTAGAAGCGATGCACTTGTTACTAGTAGCTATCTCGGGCCAGGATGATACTGCTTGCTTGTTGTTGGAGTATGTGGAGCCCGGGACCCAGCGGTTCTTCAGACCTCAAAAACAGGCTCGCCATCCCAACAAGATTGGCAATCCCTCCAGAACAGTGTAGTTAGATGTAGATAGGATTTTCAAGGTAGTTGCAAGTTACGAGTCTCATACTACCAGATGATGTCGTGGAACCATGGCCCAACCATCCTTTGCAAGAAGCAACAATGTGCAATCTGGGATGCCACTCAAGACAATATGGTCTTCTGCATTTTTTTGTTCAGTCTGCAGAACCCTCAACTGGCAGCAACTTTCTGCCGCAAGTGAATGGTGGCGCATAGCTGGTGCATGTGTTTCCTGCTCGGACAAGAGTTTGCCGGCACATACCGGCACATGGATTCTGGTACTAGTGCCTGCATCAAATGAAGCCATTTTGCTTGGGTAGCACATTCGGGCCAGTATCTAGTTGCAAAGTTTGAAGCTCTGGACTATCATGACATGGCAAACACCAGTGTGACAGCATCTATGACAGTGCAAAGATGAAAGCACCTCACCGCAGCTATTTTCAACTCCACTCAAACTCGTCAAACTCCCCCGGTTGACTTGTTTTTCGAACAAGAACCACCCGAAGTCCCTAAAAGCCCTGATTACAGACATGCCCTGATTACAGTAGGCCATGTTTGCTTCCATACAGAACCACCCTCTTGTTGACACCGAAGGAACGGCTCCTTGGCGGCTGAAGTGCAGAGGCGGATGCTTCGGATTCAATTGGCTAGCCATTAAACACCCCCCCTCCCCCCTTACGACTGGGTGATCCCAAAATCGAAAATGCATGTGGTGTTTAAGTTTGAATCCTGTTTTTGGTTCTCGGTGTTTGTTTTCTTTGTTTTTGTTTGATGATTTTTGCAGGTTTGGACGGTCCGAAGGAAGGGCCTTTGAAGGACATCACGGGTAAGGTATCACAATGTATCACACGTAAAGCCCGGTTAACCCCCACACCCGAACTTTCCCTGATCCAATGAATGTTAATTGTCCATGATGCCAGGAAGAAAAGATTGAGAGGAAAGGGGATACGCTAGGCCGCATGTGGGAAGTAGATCGGCGATGACAACAAAAGATTTAGATCCATAGGAAAATGGTTGTGTATGTCAGGCCCAATTTGGAGCTGTTTTTTCTCTACGTCAACCACCTGGTGCTTGATGTTCAATTCCCCCCAAGCTCCTGGCCAGCTTTCCCGCCGACCTGCTTGGGACGCAAGCAGTGTTCTGCAACACAACGCCTAACATAACGCAGGTGAGACGCACATGAGAGGAATACCCGAAGTATGAGGAAACGTTACATTAATGTTTGGGTTAGGTTAGGTTTGCAGGGTAATTATTCACATTATCATATCTTACATATATATATATATACATATAATATATATAGGGGTGCTCGCTGATTAGGAGGGCCCCTGGAGACACCATTAACACAAAAAAAACAATGATCTGAAAACTATATGCTCAATCCTAAACCCAGAAAGCCAAAAAACAACAAAGAAAAACCAATGCTTTGGAAGCTATGCTCAATCCTAAAGCCAGAAAAAGAAAACAATGATTTGGAAATTAATTATGCTCGATCCTAAAGCCAGAAAACAAAAATAACCAAACAAAAGTGTTCCAAACTAGTCCAAACCTTTGTAGGATGAACATAGTTTCCAAATCGTGTTTTTTTGTTAGATTTCCAAACTCACCATCGTGCTTTTGTTTAGATTTGTTTATACCATGCGCCAATCCGCCCATGGAAGTCTTCCATTAGGCATTTTATACTCCCTCGATTTACTCTCCGCCCAACAACCAGGAAGTCGAAGCTTTGCTCGGCATTTGGAATGCGGTTCCTATGCACATGTCAATATTTGTCATGGCCGTGGCACCTGTTACTACTAGCTTCTTGTTACTACTAGTAAGGCACCTGTTACTACTAGCGTGGCACCTGTTACTACTAGCCTTTCACCGCTTTTGTTCAAGAAAAGGTCCGGTCTTTCACTCTCAGCGGAAACCGCTCTGGGTCTCTGGTCTCCATGTGTAGCTCTGTATTGCTCGCTCGCTCGCTCGCTCGCTCGCGTCGACGTGGATGTCTCGTTGGCCCGCAGGTGCCGCGCAGAGGAACGCCAGATCCCCGACACGTCCATCATCGACTGGGCAAGCCAGCAGCAGAGCTCAGCAGAACTCAGCAAGTTTGAAACTACGTCGACGCGAGACATGTGCCTGTGCTCGACTGTTTGTGTGACACCTGTGCTTGACTGTTGTTGTTTTTTGTGGCTGTGGATATGTCCTTGATTCTCCAGGTGTGTTCTTCCGGCTTCACGGCACCCTAAGCGGTCTCGAACCCAAAAGTGTCAACACCGGCCTTTTGGGTTCCGAACTTCGAATCCATGGCTCGGTCACACGAATCACTTGTTTTGAAGAGCTGAGTAACTGAGCCTATACATGGCCTATACAAAGGTTTCATTAGACTTGCTTGTGTTTTTTGCACAGAGCATCAACCAGAGCTTGCTCAAACGCAGCTGAATGAGACCCAACCGGGCCGGGAGATTAAAGCGCTTAAACAATGGCATGAGAAAGTCGCAGCGAAGTCGGAGTCTTGTTTCATTCTTTCACCCGAAGTCGGAGTCTGAACATGTGAGCCTGCAGCACTCGCAATTCATTGCCCAGGATCCTACTCGGTCTCTTGTACCTACACCGAAAAGAGGCCTTTGATGCCACTGCATGTGAGTGAGTGTCGACATTGCTGCAGATTCTGGTTGTATTAAAATCAAAGCGAGTCCAGCAAAAAGAGTGTGATTTTCATCTATGCCCCCCCCTTCAGGGTCTTTGGGTGCCTCCCTTTGTTAAAAATTAACCCCGTATAAAAGCATATGTTCCATACTCTGGGCTATGCCAGGTTTGGTGAGGCAAGTGTGGTCTTGCAGACATGGACGTGAAACCTCATCATGTGCTGTTTAACAAAAGCTAAAGCTTTGAAGCCAGATCAAACCATATTTATATAATCAAGTTTGATCAATCAAAAGGATAGATGCTCTTTTCATCACACAGGTGGTGCACCGCGACTTGAAGACTGAGAACCTGCTGGGCACGGGATCCCAAACGCCTGTCCAGCGGTCCCAAAACCTCTAAAGACTGGGACCATGACACAGGCTTCAAAGCACGGGTGACAGGATTGATTTGGATTGATCTATAATCGGTGAGCGGCAATCCTACTTTGTGACTTGGTCATTCACCTGAAGGTATGATGATTCGTCAGCAGTAGTGTGTAGGTTTCTGGGCTGGTAGCAGTAGCTGTAGGTTCCTAGATTGGAAGTACTACATCCACCTGTGCAGCTCACAGGAGCACCTGGACGAGCTTACAAGAGAGTTAAGTCTTTGAAGGGATGAACATTGAATTAGAATTTGTGTGTGGTATTCAGTTGGCTCAGCACCTGTTATGTCACAAATTTGTTTCCCAAACAGGATACTGACATAGGAAGGTACTTCCTGGAGGAATGCAGTGCTGAACGGGTGATATGGTTGTTTCCTGGATTGTCCTTGTCACCACCTGTTCAAAACCTCTCACTCATTTGGGAGCTGCCCCAAGTTGCCACAGTTCTCTATTTGGTGTGCATCCCAGTTTTCCGCTTAAAAGAAACAGAATGACAGAAGGGGGCAACATGGGGGGTGGAGTAGTCCGGTGTGATATACACAACAACAATCGAAATTATACCATGTCACAACTTCACCCCCCCATGGTGCCCCGCTCTCTTTAGTGACACACAGAGTGACTCTGCTCCATCGTCGAGCATCGCACATCGCGTCACCCAGGTCCCTCGGAGGGCCGTGTGAAGATTGCAGACTTTGGCATCTCCAAGCGTCTCAGTGGTGCCACTTTGGCTAGGCAAGGCGCACCGGGGGTGAGTTGGCACTCAAACAGCACTGCGGCACTTTTGGACTTGTAGCGAAAACGAGATCTTGCCCAGTTTCTTTGCGATCTTAAACCTGCTCCGGAAAACACAACACTTCAGAAACATGGCCTTTATCCTGCGGGTATATTTTGAACAAGTGAGATTTGATGAGATTTGTATCTCCCGAACTCTCCTTGTCCCCAACTCCTCGTCGCGGCTGTAGGTCAGTTACCAAACTATCCGATCTGTCACCGCGATGTGAAGTTCCTATGGTGACCTGTTTTGATCAGTCTCGACATCGATGTCACAGGTTTGAGGGCGAATTTCACAAGCTTCATTCATGCAAGGATTTTAGGTGGAAAACACATGAACACATGGAAGCGCCTCCTTGGGTGGCAATGAGCCGCCACGGAAAGCATATCTCGGTATATCACGGTTTTTCTACGTTACGTAGATTGTTATATATTATGTTTTATGTATATATTAATATATATAGAGAGATATATATATATACAGCACTATATATATGACATATACGTATGTTTGTCCTCCACAAACAAGAGAATTGAATGGTAGACCACAAAGGCTCGACCAAACTTTGGGCTAGAGACTGTTGATCCACAGCTTGTTCAAGGAACCTGGAAGACAGGCTATGTAATTAGTGTGTCGGCTTCAGGGGCAATTCTTGAGCTATGTAATTATGGCTCGCGCCTTGAGGATCGGATAGGATCGGTGACGAAACGCTCACGAAGCCAGAAACGCCTGGAGAGAAGAGTGGCATGGGCTTGGCATCCCATGGCCATCGAAGATGAGAAAGAAAGAGCATCCCTCATCACTATTGATCTATTGAGAACCTTGAAATCAACCAAATTTATGTGACCAGTTTCGGTACAAGCATCAGCTTTTGGGGTATGTTGCCAATTTGAGGAAGTCGAAGTGGGTGAGCCATGAAGTAGGCTGTTGCATGCTAGCATGCAAGGCTTGTCCTTGACACGGATCAAATATCCAGCCGTGCTATGCTGCATCACTTTTCGGGCCTGGCCCCAACGAGAGAAGGACAGAGTGGTGCGGGTGTGATCGCAGCGCACTGTGCGATCACAGCAAGACGCTGGAGATTGCCAAGTTGCATGGATGCTAGAGGGCAAAATACTATCAGCAAAGAGCAATGCTCGAGGGAGAGGTTGGAGCAAGAACAGTTGCATCAGCAGCTTCGACGACACAGCTTGGACTTTGAGGGGGCTTCAGGAGCAGGTTTGAGTGGAGCTTCGAAGAAGGTTCTTGAGGAGGTTCCGGAGCAGATCCGACAATATCCAAAAAGCTGTTGAAAAAGATTGAGGTTTGATGGCGGTGCCAGAACTGATGTTGCAAGAAGTTTTGGAAGGTTCGGGAGTTCCCGCGTAGGTTCCAGATTCTGCATGGTGCTGCAATCCATGCATCCACTCTGCTTTATGATCTACGGTTTTGGTTTCCTAAGAAGTCTACTGCACTTTAATTAAACTATACTAAACGGCAGTCTGTATTTGTTTCGCTTCACCAACATTGTTTGTATTTGATGTCAAATAACATTTGGATCTTGCAGGCTTGTCCTATGTTTTCTGCAAGTGTTTTCTGTATGGGATCAGAAGAGTTTATATAAATATATGTGTTATATTATAATGTGTTCTAATACCTTCACAGATAGTAATTGAGAGATCTGATCCCACCGGCAGCCTTGGAGAAAATCATGCGGCTCCGTTCACAGGTCCTTGGTGGGCACGTTGGAGGTCATGGCCCCCGAGCGGGTGAAAGCGCTCAAAGGCCTGGCGGCAGGCGCGAACCCATCGGTTTCGCCCACCGGTGAAGGCGCTTCCCGCCGTTCCTCGCAGCCCTCAACTCACAAAGACCACGGGAGGCTGCACAGGACGGGAGGCTTCCACGCCCCACACGACGGACGGGAGAGCTTCATGCTCCGACGGCCGACGTGTGTGTTTTCCAAAGCACGGGAAGGCGAGGAGAGCCCCAGCGAGTACGGTCCGGAAAGTGACCTGTGGCCGCTCGGAAGACGGAGACCGTCGTTCGGGGCGGTTGGAGGTTCGAAATGGTTCGAAAGAGAAAAATGCATCCAAACCAGGCATGTCATTTGCTGAGTTTGGAGCTTTGGCATGTGGTTCCTGGGTGATTTAGCGGTTCTTTGTGTCCATTTCTTTGGGTGTTGGAATGGTTGCGGGTGTCAGGGCGCATGAGATGGTGTGGACACTGTGTTAATTTAGGAATCAGTGACGTGATTTCATGAAGAAGAGGTGGACCCAATGATGATATATAACAGGTTCTATTGAACAGTCGGTTTAACAGTTTTACACAAACAGTCAAACTGATGTTGAGAAGATCAGTGAGACCGCCCACGAACTGGAGATTCTTTTTCTACACTCTTTCGGCTGCAACTTCTTTCCGTCCCACCGTCAGTTGTATGTGGAGGTGGAGTTTGTTCATTCTGTCTAGACCATGCTTGTAGGGCAATGCCTTGGAATCACAGACCAGTTCTGAGCGGTGTCAGGTCAGCGGATGGTGACTTATTATAGAACACAGCCAATTGACCAATTGACCATCCCATTGGGCCCATGTACGTTCCACTAGTAAGGTTACCCACACGTGGATATCAATTCCGTCCTTTAGGCACCGAGACCTCGGACAAGACTGAAGGCTCTTCTAAGTGAAAGCCTAGTGCCCAAGTAAGTGGAAGTAAATGCAACCACAATGAGCTTGTGTGAATTGTGCGATATTTAGGTTGGAGGCCATTGCTTTTAGGTCGGAGGCCATCGCTATTAGTATATAACTCAAATGTGTTTATATATATATATATGTTTTAATATCATAAAATATCTATTTGGTTTGAGGTGCACTGTGTAGGCAATGACTTAAGGGCTTACCTTTCAATCCCTTTGGTGAAATTCACCCAGGCCATTCAGCTGGACATCGTGACACTGGAATTCACGCAATCTCTTGAAGTTTTATTTATTACATCAATAAGCTACTAGTAACAAGTGCATCGCTACTAGTAACAAGTGCCTTACTAGTAGTAACAAGAAGCTACTAGGAACAAGGAATCAATTCTCCCTAATCCGCCAGCCAATGACTACTCTCGATGAACATCGTCCCCCATGAGGTCCTTGGGTGTTGTCCTCTATGAGCTGGCGACGCTGCGGGCACCCTTCGAGGTCCGTCAAGTCCGGTCGAGAGGGGCTGAGATGTGAGCAACCATATGGAACCCATATGAGCAACCACTTTTATTTACTGTAAGTGGACTTTACTAAAGTAGTCTACGGCATTTTTATAGTACCAAATAAATGCTGCCGCACATATGGACCCATTTGCAGACCATTCGGGACAGCATGAAGAAACGACTTTGGCCTACCTAGAACTTAGAGACCAAGAGTGACAAGCTCATGGAGAGTTTGGCGTTGATCCAGGCTCTTTCCTGGGTTTACTCCAGCTTGGCAGAGTTTGCCTGATGAAGTCAGTGATGCCCCACTACACTGGAGTCCATGCATTCAATATCAGATAGTATCAGCATGTATCAGCATAATAGGTAACGAATGCTGACGATTTGTGAACATTTGCGCACTTGAGAGAATCATGTATAGCCTTTTGGCTGGGCGCACGTGTGCACAAGTGACGTGTCTTCAGACTGAACGAGTGGTGCAGGGGGATGCCGGCGCTGACCTGGGTGCACAGGCAGGACCACAAATGACATAGAACCATTGTGCAGGTGTCTTGGAGTGGTGGGAGAGTTAGTTCGGAGATAGTCACACCGTGTGGGTGAAAAGGGGTTGTGGACTTCAATTTTGAAATACAGCAAGTCAGCAAGGCTTCGCAGAGTTTTGGTATAGTTTTGATTCAATATACCGCCCTGCAGCATTCCTTCCAGCAGTGGTTTTTGTACCTGACTGCCGCCAGGGTGAGTTTGATCCTTTGAAGGTTGGATTGAGCCATTCAATGTCGAGATCAATTGGAGCCTTTCAATGCTTGTACTTTGCTACTCCAGACTTGCGAATAAACAAGCCAGCTCCGCACTCGCTCTTCTACTCCAGACTCCAGTTCAACACATCCGATCACAAACCACTCTTGACTTGAACGCAGCGCCCGCGACTCACATGATGAGCAGGGCTGGGACGGGCGGAGAGGTGCACCTTGCACTCGTACCGGTCGTACCGATCAAATCTCGTACCCAAAATTTTTGGTATCACTTGAAGGTATCACTTGTGCATCAGTACTTGTGAGGACCTGCAGGTCGGATGCCTCTCATCCTCAGTTGAAACTGAAGTAAATGGCTCGCGGCAGCAGAGCTAAGAGCGGGGAACTGCATCCTGGGCTGCGCAAGTCATCCATTCTTAGATATTCATAGGTACCGACCCTTTGACAATCATGGAAGCTGAGCAGAACTTATTTATATATGGAATTCTGCAGAATGGTCTTTGGGGGTCTATGCTCCACTTCCATGAGGGCCCAACTGGACAGTCCAAGTCAGCTATGTAGGTATTTATATGATGGTATTTATATAGCCTGGTCTAAGGGGTTTTGTTGTTTGCACGAGATAAGTTAACCAAACAAGCTAAAACCTAAAGAGGTGTAACGGTCCACTACTGCGGTTTCACCACGTCAGCCAAGCATGGCGCACATATCCAGGAACATCAAAAATGCTAATCGAGTCGCAAAGTATCAGATCATGGCACCCCAATCCCGACATCTCTGGTTAACCACCAGTGGACCAGGGCTGCCACAAGTGCATCGCTACTAGGAACAATGGCATCGCTACTAGGAGCAAGGACGCTACTAGTAGCTCCTGGCATTACTACTAGTAACAAGAAGCTACTAGGGGCTCCTGGCATCGCTACTAGGAGCAAGAAGCTACCAGGGGCTTCTGTCACCGTTTATGAGACGACCGCCAGGAGCGGCAGCGGCGGCTCATCGATCGGATCTGCCACGAGAAGCCCACGCCAAAAACACCCAGCGGTCGGCAACAGCGGTCGGGCCATGTGGAAAATCTGACAATTCAATGCACCAGGGAGCTCTGAAACCCGGTAGCCCCCGGTATATCCAGGAACCCCAGGTTTCAGTGCCTTTTTTTGTTGCAGTGGGTGTGGCCAGACTATTTCCCCATCCAGCTTCATACATCAGAGGGGGTCTGTGGATTTTTAGGGTTGGACCTTTGGACGAAATTGGTTTCATTCCATGAATTTATCCTAATTGAGGGCTGATTTGCGCGGTCTACAGGTTCCTTGCTTTCAAATTGCGGCGAGGTTGTTTCACTGCAATAAGGGTTCTAGTTGATTGTGAGTCCCCGGGTTTACCAGAACATGTGTTGGGCAGTGATTTCGGTGGTACACAGTTTGTTTGTGCTCTTTCTCATGAAGCATTTTGCTGCAAATGCTATACCTTCTTCCCGACCACAAACAATGGAACCAGGCGATTGTGAAGGGGCAGCTCGCTGGAAAAGAGCTGGAGAGGTACAGAGAAGCGGTGTCTCCTTCCTGGTTCGATGAGATATTCAAAAAAAAACATGGACACCTACAAAAAATATGACATGGCAGGGTAATTTGGAATTGCAATGTTAGGCACGACAATGTCTTGCCAGGAGTCAAGTTCGCTTTTGGCTTCTTGAGTCACCCACACGGTGACTGTGATTCTGTGGTGACATGTTTCTTTTGGGCTCCCTTCCGGTCCCTTCCCCCCGTAGAGAAGGCACGAGGATCCATTGGTACCCCATGGAATTTGGCTTCCCACGTGTGTGCCATACTCTTCAGTCGTGACCACGGGGCGGGGCCGGTGGGGTGGGGGAGACGGGAGAAGGACCATGTCGTAGTTGCAACACAAGTGAAGAAACCGGAAGCACTGTCCAGTGAGGCAACATATGTCAGGACCTGAAACATTTAACCAGGTCCTTTAGAGATTGTGTTTGTTTTCTCACATGTCGCTTCACATGTCGCTTCACATGTCGCTTCACATGCTACAATCTTGCGCCTTCCACGTTGAGTGTTTTGGGTTGCTCTAGGGGGACCGGTTTGGTGTTAGCAAGAAGCTACTAGTAACGAGGGCATCGCTACTAGTAACAACAGCTTGAGTCTGTGTATCCTGCTGTGTATCCTGCTGCTTTGGATTCGTTTGTGACTGGATCTTTCGGCCGACCGGTACCAAGCGAGGGTGGCTCATCCAGGGCTCACCAACCATCTGTGTACAGCCGTGCGCCGAAGAATTTGGATGGACAGACCTGACTCAAAGACACAGCTTGGCTGAGATAAAGAATGATGAGGCGCGTTTATTCGCGCACATGTACGAGCAAACGGCCGTTTCCGAACGGCCTTGGAGAGCCTTGTTTGGAAAAATGCTGAGTGCTTGAGCTTGACCTATGTGTTGTGTTTTTGGTCACAGGTGCTGGGCACATGAGGCGCCTGATGTGTTGGCGCCCTTTCTTTGATGCCAAGATGGAAGTCTTGGCCAGAAAGGTCACCTCAGTTGCTCTTTGAGAAGCTTCACTAGTTGACAGGCCTAGCAGTGCATTGCAACTGGCTTCATATAAAATACCTTGGTGTTGCTTGTGTCAAATTTGGAAGCATCCTGTGGCTCTTTGTTTTTCAGGTTATGCCTATGAGGAACTTAGCGAGAGTTTGAAGCTGGTGTGGAACTTTATGCAGGATGTTATCTCCAACATCAGGTCGCAGCCAAGTATGCCGGCCTTGCCAAACTCACTAGGTGCCAAAAGAAGGAAGGAGCATCAAAATTGAGAGACAAAGGTGGATGAAGGGTTTTGGTCCAGTGTCTCTGGAACTTTGGATGCATTGCACACACCATTCTTGCCCTTGGCGCAATAGCAAAAAACATATAAAAGCTCAACTGCAGTCTTGAGAAGACTGGTGAGATGGTTTTAAGTGCACAAGGATCTGAGCTGAAATCCACAGAGACCTGCTGTCAAATCCACAGAGACCTGATTCATCAGAGGTTATCAGCGGTTTGCCAGACCTCTTTTTCCTGACAGTCATAAAAGGCATTTTGTTGGTGACCAGCTCAATCCACAAAGGAAATCCTGCTGGAAAGGAACAGGATTTGATGGAGCTCACTCTTGGATGTGAGGTTTGGAGAAAGCATTCCCTTTAGCAGGTCTGGGCATAATTCCCGTAAAACCCAATTGCATAATAAAGATCCTTAAAGCAACACATAATAGTCTATGTTGAAATAGATATGTTTCTATGTTGAAATCGTCTTTAGGCACAAAAAGAGTCTCTAGAATTAGATGTCAAGTTTAGATAGTAGTTAGAACCGAAGATATTGAATAGGAATTGGATGTTAGTTAGGAAATAGTCCAGTCGGGGCTTAAGGGTGGTACCCTACAGCATTTGACAGGGAGGCCAGGCCCTGTGGGCTGAGTGGCAATCATTTGCAAACTGTTTCAGGAGCTGAATACTTGGCCAATACTTGCTAAGTAATGTTCAACAGACCACAAAGTATTTGGTGCCAACAACCTTGGCAATACTGGCTTGCATTTGACTCACGACCACAAAGTACCTGAAACCAGTGACCTTTTGATTCCATGTATTGTGGAAACGATGGAGCCGGATGAACTGGTGACAAAACTGGACAAATTGGGATACATCGACGCTCGCATCGATTGAGGCCTCTTCCCTTCTCACGCGCGGCAGTGCTGCATAAGGCCAGGCCAGGACTAGGCAATGGCCAAAGCCCAAGGACCCACTATTCCTGAGGATTCACTGCTGAATTGAGGGTGGGATGTTGGGGCTTAACTGCAGGAAAGGGCGTTTGCATTTGCTATTCACAATAATTACAGTAGGGGTAGGTTCAGGGTTGATGAGCAGATTGCTCCAAATCTGTTGGATTTGGTTTGTTCGTATGTGCAGAGTTTGGGTTTATTGTTGTATAGTTTAGCTATATAGCTGTTCTTGAAGTGGGTTTGGGAGAAGGAATTTGGCCACTGACCATAGCAAATAGAATTCCTGCTCAAGTTTAGAGTTTTTGTCCACAGGTGTTTGAAGTCTCAAGTAAGTCAACACTTGCCATGTACATATAATATATATATATTATATATATATTTTTGTCAAAAATGTGAAGGGCATTGTGAAGGGCCTTCCACCACGGGCGGAACCTCCACGTGCAAAGGTTGTCATTGGCGGCCTTCTACACAAAGAGCATTGCCGGCACAGCTTTACTGCACTGAGCGCCGGTAGCACGGGTGGATGGGACTTCTGGGGAGAAGGTGGACAACACAGTGTTCGCACAACAGATTTGGCGTTCGGCGTACCTGAGTGACCCAAGTTTTGGAAAGGAAATACACTTAACCACTTAGCTCAGCAAGGGTCATGTTGGTTCTAGATGGTTCTAGGTGTATGCCAATTCATATACATACAGTACATGCTATATTGTATACAATATAGCTCATCTGTGCACATCCCAGTTTGACTTGGGCAGCGGCCTGGAACTTGCCACTGTTAATGCCACTGCCAGGCCCTCCCAGCGGCCAACAGCAGGAGAGCTTTGCCAGGATCCAGACTTAGGTGCGTGCTGTCAGGTGAAAGAGGAGTGCAGTTCGCCTACAGAGACATATGTGTTGCTGTGTTGGGCTATGTACCCACCGCACGTTACCCCTGCCTGTACCTACCACCCCGTACCACACCATGGCCCCCTGCACTACACCATGGCGGATCACCTTAGAGGTGTTCGTACAACGACCCGATACTCGGGTGCTCCTTCGAGGTCGCAAGCGAACGGTCACACGAACCATCCTTCAGGTCCCTGTCTCCGGAGTCGTAGACGGTCTACCACACCATTTATTTTGCGCATGGCGATCAGTCAACTCATGAAACCCCAACCAGCAAGCCCTTTGTTGGTGTTTAAACTGGTTTAAACCCATGTCCGTTAGCGTTCGCTTCAGCTGCTCGGTCATGCTCGTCGGATTCGCGCGATGAGCGATTCCGCGATGTGTTCTTCGGCAGCTTTGGGCAGGGCGATCGATCCATCACTTCCTGAAGAAAGAGAAGCTCTTGGAGCATCCATCCATTTTGGAGGCGAGAATTTTTGCTGAGTTCTGATGCAAGTGCAGGTCACCTGACCATGGGGCATGTGAGGGGGCAGGAGTTTCTCGGAATTGGGTCGGAAAGGGCTTTTGAGGCAAACTGAGAAAGTCTGAGAAACTAAAGGGGCTAGGAACTGTTGGGTCTCCTGGAGGTATCGATATATATATATATATACATGCGCGAATGGAAGCAGTGGTCAGTGGTCCCAAATGAATTTGAGCACAGAGGATGTAAAGGCTGGGGGTTTGGTGTTTTGGTGTCTTCGTTGGCTGGGACTGAGACAGTATCATTGACAAAACAATGAAGCTTCAAAAAAGTCTCCGACTCCATGTACGCGCGCACACATAGACTACAGTACCGCTGAATTGAAATGCTATGACATAAAAGGTGGTCCCTTAGGACTTAATTATAGCAATATGTTGGGCGGGTCTCCACAGCTTGAGTCTGAAGAAACGTGTCGACATGTAGCATTGCATGCGTTTTCCCATGGTTTGGTCACATGAGTGGACGCACTCTGGATCGAAACTCGCGTAAAGGAAGTGGACGGCTCGGATACGCAAGTGTCGACCGTGGCGTTTCGCGAAAGCAAAAGTCCCTTTTCATGAAGGCAACTCTCAGTTCACTCATCCGGCTGCTTTTTCCGCCATGACGTGTCTACAAAAGTCTGTGCCTGCAGAATTGTGTCTTCCACTGCACGCATGTATGTGATGATTATGTAATGAACAAGGACACAACATTCAAACCGCAGACAGCGCTCTAATGGATATTAGTAGCTGTTACTAATAATAGTAACCCAACTTATAGCAGTTACATCACATCTGGACGCAACCAAATCATTATTTCAATTTCAACTGCTCGTGTCAATTTCGGTCCCTTTTGAGTGGCCGCCCGTTTTTGAAGTGGGAAGATGTATGGTTGTTTGGGAGATGCCTTTTTAGTCATCCTTCGGACGGCGCTTGGCATCGGTGCCAGATCCTGGATGTCTTGCCCAACATCGATGCTTGGGTTCAACTGGGCTGGCATGGAAGCACCCCCAAAACTTGCTTCTCTTGGCACCAAGAGAGCTTGAGAGTCCTTGGACCCGAAGTGAGGGGAAGTTCTTGGGATGGGTGGTAGGACTCGGTCCTTTGCAGGCGCTTCTCAACCGGTGCTCCAAAACTGGTCTGAAGATTCGGTGTATATAATATTATATAGTTTCCCCGATTTTCCCCGTGTATGCCCCAGATGGCCGATAACCGCAAGTTGATTTCTTGTTTACGGATGCCCTCCTTGACCTCTTGACAGAGCCACTACGGAGAGCCCTGTTCTTGAGCGGCAGACAGCAGCCACGGATACCATAACACCCACTTCGTTAGCTTTGCTTTGCCAACTGCAGACCTTGATTCTTTCTTTTGTTCGATTCGCCTGAGTTCTTTGGGTACTGAACGTGTCTCGTTGGTAGCTGATCAGGCAAAGCAGTCCAAATACAGTAAGTCCCGTCCTACCAGACGTGCATTTTGCCCAGTGATACATCACACAATCTGCATTTTACATCACCTCCTAGAAACCATTAGTCCTAAGCACAGCACTTGCAGATCAGAAGCCCTCTCTTCCCGATATGAGTTGCAGCCATGGCAGTCGCTCAGGATCAAGAAGGAAGCTTCATCAACAGCTGCTGGGCAGCAGGATCAACCCTGTCCCACCTGGCACTTTGGAACTGACCCAAAACCCCGCTGTCCACCAAATCAAGAAAAAATTAGAAGAATAATTGTGAAACAAGAGGATTACCAGCATATAATAGCATATATATATAGTTCATAATATATGTTATATAATATGTTATATATAACGGTAGAAACTCACACCGTCAGCTCATGGTTTAGGCCACTGAGACCACTGCCAGAGCGCCGGAACATGGAGAACTCTTCGATCCAAGAAGCCTCTCATAAGACATGGAGGCCATTGCTTCTAGGTTGGAGGCCATTGCTATTAGGGTTTAGAATCCAAACATGAAACGTGGGGATTCCAAGTCCTTTGTCTTTGGGTCGGAAGTCGGCGGTCTCTCACGAATCGTCCGTTCGGAACTTCGAGGTTTGAAACTCGGCCTAGGATTGCTGAAGAGGTGTTCACTACTCGATTTAGGTGTTGAATGGTGATGGTGTTTTGAGTACATGTTCCTTTCACATTTGCATGCATTTGCTATGACTTGAGGCGGGAGAGACTCGCCGTGAATGCTGGGCAAGTTTGGATATACACAAAGAAGAAGTGCTCACATACAACACGGAGATCCAAATCCGACACACGTCATGTTGGGTGAATTTCGGAAGTAGGATTCACCCAGAACAGCCGGTCGATGGCGGAGGTGGAAATCGCTCCAATGAGACAGGAGACGGCTCGAGTTGAAAAGAAGGTCAGGCCACAGGATTTGTCCTGGAAATATATACTCGTCCAAAAGGCGCACATCGCGTGGGACCAAAGCGCTGTCAGTCAATCCCTCCAGCTTTGGGGCCGAGGTGATCCGTGGAGTGAAGTGAATGATGCATCTTTGGTTTAAAGCCTCACTTGAGTGTCCCAAGCCAGCGTTCCTACTTCCTCTTGATATGCATTTGTATGTGTATGCGTTTGTCATTTCTGTGATGCTCTAATTTGAATGCACTTCAGATCGCAAGACCATGGCAAATGGCAACAAGACCTTGGTGGCCTAGCTCATTGATGCGGCAAGTCCAGCAGTGGCCCGACCTCAAACTCTCCCGTGTCTTTCGAGAATTCGGTGTTGATGCTGTGTAAATGTGGTACATTTGATCCAAAGCCAACCTGGGTGTGGCTTTGGCATGCAAGGGATGCAAAAAGCGTTCACTGCAGAAGGAAGCGCAGTATTCCTCGGGGCTGTTGACTCGCTTCAGCAGTGAGCCAGGCCAAGCCGCCTATGGACGCTGATGGCGGAAAGTAACCATGGATTCTGAAGCGCTTGGCATTTTGAGGGAAGTGAAACAATTGCTGGGCCAAACTGGGAATAATGATTTCCTTGGTGGATGCATCATGCATCATCATGCTAATTGCTTTCACTCGATTACTAAGCTTTCTTACTGTATGTATGTACTTGTTGTGGGGTGTTTCGCCAGCTGTGAAGAATCTTGAACTCCTTGGGCCCCAAGGAGTCGAGGAAAGATCCAGTCTGCCAAGGCTCAGACCTGGACGTGGTGACGCTGCGGTCACACCGGAGCTCTCTCGGGGGCACCGGGCCCTTCTTGGACAGGCGACGGGTACCGTGACCGGGAATTGGATCGTGAAAAAGATTGTGTTGGGATAGCACTGTGGCTATCTGAGGGGCTTGTTCTTCACAAGCTGAGGGTGAACACATCCTGTCAGTCATACACAGATGGCAAATGATGGCCAACTCCCTGTGTCGACACGTTGTCGTGACTCCGTGAACACGTTGGGTCCAAGGGCGGCGAACGCTACCCCCCACCCCTTGGACCGCAAAACAGTTGACCAATCAGTCTAAGGGTCTAAACTGTCTAAGCTGTTGACTAACCTGGACTGACAGTAGGCCCAGAAAAAATGTGCAAGGCTCAACCACTTTCACTAAGCTTCATTATCCACTGTCAGCAAGCAACTGCTTTAGAAGCTGGACACACGTGTGCCCATCATTGCTCATCAGTTATGATGACATAAATTATATACATATCCATTCTATTCGTCCTATTCCTCAGCAAACACTCTCGCTATTTGTTGGAAGCCAAGTGTTTCCTAGCTAAAAATGCTAAACACAATTAAAAACATGAGGTTAGGAAAAAACACCTGGACGGACAATCCACAGGACAAGAACCACCACTGCACCCCCAAAGAAAAGAAATCAGAGGTGTTCATATGTTTTCATGCATTTGTCTTCTTCCCTGTCTCAAATCATTTCCTCCATCCCTTCCCTCATGTTCTTCTCCTCCGAGCCGTTCGTCCGTTTTTAGGGCCCGCTTGAGCGCCTCGGAGCTCCGGAAGCTCCTCCCCGAGGAGCGCCCGCTGTCTCAGCATCGACCCACCAAACCTTTTTCGCTGTTTGTTTCTGGTTCAGACTCGTTCGTGCCGAGTCTGGTCGATATCAGCGGACGATTGGCTCTAAGGCAACGGACTGTACTATGATGGATGAGCGAACGAACATGCGAAGAATTCAAGCAACTGCTTTGGGACTGGTGTTGAGTCCGGTCCCCTCTCTATTCCGGACTGTACCTGAACAGACAACTCGTGTGATTCAGGGTTTCAGCTTTCCGACTTACATCTCGTTTCGATGCAGCCAAGTTGATTTAATCGCAACCTCACAGAAAGCATCGCACCGGTCGGTAAAGATAAAGCCGACACCGCCGCCTCAATATTGTTCTCACAGTGTTACCTCAATATTTATTTTGGTTTACAGATAAATATGTATATTGTTTTACATAATTAATAGATTTTGCGGTTGCCAAAGAACGATATCGACAGCTTCTCATCCTCATGTTTGTGTTGTGCAGTTTTATGGGCATCATGGGCTACCGCACTGTCACCAAAGTATGTGATTAGAATGTGCCGTTCATCAGCTTTGGCACAACCAGCTGGCTGTTTGACAAAGGAGGATCAGTCCTGTCTACTCATCGATGCCAGGTTCTGTCGCCAAGCACAGCCCATCAATAGTAACAATTGGGTATGATTAATCAGGATGAGTAGAGCTATTGTGAAATCATGACTAATTAATTATATGACTGTTGTTCTTTTTATCGTTGTAGTTCAGCCCAGGGTCATCCAGATTCATCCACTTTGCACTGGAACCCTCACACCGGATCCTCATAACATCTCATAACTGAACAAGCTAGGCCATCATGTGCCTTCGATCTGGGATATTCCAGAACAACCTGCTTCATCCAAACATGGGTCATGCTGGATTCACGGGCTCGTTCAGAATGGCATGGCCTGGGCTTAGACCGTCACACTATGTCATGTCATTCGCCTGCTGCGTCGTTTGTGCGACTTCACCCGGAGGGCGTCCGACTTGGTCCCCCGAGTCGGGAGCCGTGCTCCTCCGTGCGTTGGTCGTCGTCGCGGGTGAGGACTTAGCGGAAGTCTTTGAGCCAAGTCCAAGCCCACACACCACGAAGGCGTCAGCGAGGGGACTGGTGGGTCAGCGAGGGGACGGTCAACAGTCGTGGTATTTGTGAGAAACGAAGGCAGGCTCGCTGGGGTGGCCCTTTTTTGGACTCCAAAAAGCCATCACAAGCTGTCACAGGCCTTTAAAGAGAAGGGGAGAAGGAAGAAGGAAGGCTCCTGTGCAGACTGCCAAGACACGTCCACAAGAGTGGTTGGGACGTCCAAGCCAGCAGAACACCACAAGCCAGCAGTTGGTACGAGGGTTGCCTATGTTCCTTCCATCAGCATCCGACGACAAAAGGAGGAAGGCACCGGGTAGAGCACAGCCATACCACCCAATGAGCTAGAGTCGCTAGAGGTTGGGATACCAGAAGCATCCAGAAGGATCAGAAGCCAAGTGCTTTTTGTTGGAGGGAACGGGTCTTTTGTTTGAGACGTCTATTCGACGTCTATGACTCAGTGACTAGAGTCATTGTACAAAACCGATGCTTTTTCCATGCACTTGACATAGACATGAGACGTTTGTGAGTCTTTTGATGTCTTCCAAACCCATCCAACACCCGTGGGTCGCCGCTGGTGAGGTGGAGCCTCGAGAGGCACCCAAGGTGGAGCCGGGGAGTATGACACATATACAGATAGACTCTAGACAATCTATACCTGTTCTATTCATGCTTTCTGGCAGTAGTGTCTATAGAGTCTATAGTATAGATTCTGTTTGTTTGATTGATTGATTGTGTTGATTGATTGAATGATTGATTGATTGCTTGGTTGGTTGATTGATTGATTGATTGAGTATATAATTGATTGTGTTGTGCTGTTTATATGTTGTATATATTGTACTGTATAGATGCGAAGCATCCGAGAAAGATGCTGCTCTTTTCTGCGTTCCGGAGACAGACAATTGACTGGCTGAGGACATGTCGAGTCAGCTCTCTTTCCGGCTTGAACACCGTGGGTTCTTTCCGAACCAGAATGTAAGAGCACGAATCAATGAGCCTCGATTGAACTGGTCCTTGGGTCAGAAGTTTGCAGGCACCGACCAAACATCAAGACCTCTTGATTCTGCAACTCTGCAACACATGCTCAAAAGATGCGGTCAACGGTAACCTATTGAACCCATGATCCTTGGGATGTTTTAACCAGCCCTGAGGGTGGGTTTAACCAACTTGTGAGATCAGCAGATGTGTTTCTGCTCTTCACTAGGGGTCGCTGGGTTCTTGACTATGGGCTGTTAGGGAACATTTGGCGGAAGGGCAAGCCTTTTTGTTTTAACCCATACGGAATGATTGAAACCTTGATGACATCCCACTGGATGGATCAATGCTTCTTAAATAATCTTGGATGTATTCAAGTGTCAAAAGCTCCATCAAACCGCGCACAACCTTCAATATAGATAGTGGTGAGAGATATGAGATCTGTTTAAATGCTTGATTCTGCTGACTAGGTTGGTCGAGTTGAAGTACCCTGGTGGTATGGTGGTACTTAAATCCTTTTTGTTGAGTTGAATCCACCAACCACTCAAGTTCGGACTTCAAGGACTCAGCCGGACAGGCAGAGCTCGCGAGCCGGCGCTCCGAGCGGGACGAACGGCGCCAGCGGTGTTCCAGGTGCGCAGGGCACTGGGGGGGTTGAAGTTGACACAGAAGTGACCTTTGGGGGTTTACACAGCTTTTTTTGGGGGGGTTAGTTT